AAAGTTCTGTAGAGATGTGGAAGTCATTAGCTATAAACCCAGATAATTTTTTCTTGGAAACAGGAAAGCCTGAAGAAGCTGGGTTATTATTCAGGGCACACTGCTGGTGTAAAAAGCTGAAGTCATTGCACTGTAGTCAGTATGTCGAAAGGGGCAGCAGTTTTTAAGCATCAAAAGCACTAACAAAGCAAGCAAAGAAACTGAGGAAGGAGAGAAGTCCTCCATCCAAAAGCTGGCTCACACTGATTCACTGTGCCACACTGGGCAGAAGTACAGTCCTCTATATGTTGTCCTAGTAGGAAATCCCTGATGATTGCTAAAACATTAACTGTGATGATTGTGCAAGCTGGCAGCACCACAGGCCCTGAACTGCTCTACTGGATGCCTACCTTTCCTCCCCCAATTCTTAAAGCAGAATGGATGGCAGTTTCAGATTGAATACATATTTTCCATCTGCTGAACAGTTGTTTTTGTTCGTGCTGTTTGAGGTTAACTGTGCACGTACTAATCAAACCCACTACTTCCTTTCTCGTAAAACCAAAACAAAGCTTCATATTACTTTCAGGTACAGCATCTGGGATCAAACTATATATATACACACTGACTCTGTGTGGGTTCAAACATTTCGAAGATTGAGTATCCTGAAAGGTGTTGCTTTTTTTCCAGTCCTGAGAGTTCCAGTTTGTCTTAAAGTCTGAAGACCTCAGCCACCTTCAGGCCCTCCAGCACCTATCCCAGCACAGGAATGCTCTCAGTATTGCTCACCGTGGGCTTTCTCTGCACAGCCACTGCCATTGCTGAAGGTGAGTGGATAAAGGAGGCATGGCACCTGAGGGTGTCTGCATTTTCTCAGTTTCACCCCTTTGCAGGAGACAGAGTGGGTGCAACGGGAGATGACACGGGACTGCTCCACAGGACAGTCTGGGAACAAGGTCCTGGGGAACCACAAGGGGTCTGGAAAACCAGACACAGCTTCAGAGCAGCAGTGTCTGTAGAGAGGATGGGCAGGATGCAGAGGTAGCTTAGGAAGGTAGAAAGATTTTGCCAGACCAGGCCCTGTGAGAGATGTTGTTGGCATCTGATAACGTGGATCTAGAGATTTGAATAGATGGAGAAATTCTACTTCTCTTTGTCCCAAATTCTTGCACAGCATAACTGAAAAAGATAAACCCTGACTTGAAATGGACTGATAGGAAATGAAATTGAACAAATAATACTGTCTTCACAGCTTATGAAAGCAAAAGTTAGTGCCACCCCGTTGTGTGGCAGGGTACAGTACAGAGGTTGGGGATGGACATGGTACCCTAGCTTCCCATCCAGATCTGGAATGGTTTTTTTCTGCATGTGTATCAGGCTTTGCTGTGTGTTGCTGTACCATGGCTTGGGGTATATACTGTTGCTGCACTGTGGCTTGGGAATACCTGGTTAAAAATGAGGAGCAACAAGATCAGAAACAAATATATGCAAACAGGTTTTCCATTCAGTTTTACTCCAGTGGATCTGTTCCATGTTGCATACAGGGTGCCATCCTGTTTGGTTTTAAATGTGAGTGTGCTTATTCCTACCAGACAGAAACTGGAATTTAAATACATAATTTTAAATTTCAAAATTTCAGCTTTACAGTCTGAAGTCTATTGTTTTGCTTTCTTATATGTATTTAAAAAGTTTTTGTTGAGAGAACTGGAAGCATGTAGGTCACTGCTCCAGTAAGTGGGTCAAATTAAGGAGTAATTTAAGCACAGAGTAATTGCTGAGATTTACAATATAATTTATAGCAGTCAAGGAATTTCTTCAGCTTTCTAAAGTATATTAATTCAATGCCTATGTGAATTGTGGTCTTGGAGTTCTTGTCTTGGAAGGATTTAGCAGTACTTCTAGGAATCAACCACGGATAATAGGAGGTGATAGGACTCCCTCCCTGTTGTGCAAATTTCAAGTAAATGACTGCAGATCCTTTCTTGCCAGTTCACTTACCATCATGCTCTACTTCCTTACAGTAATGGAAGTGAGTCAGCCAGCAATGGTGCTAGCCAACAGGCAAGGAGTGGCCAGCCTGGTGTGTAAGTACAAGCACATCGGGAACGCCAAGGAAATCCGCGTGACCCTGCTGAAGAAGACGGGTGACCGGCTGACTGAAATCTGTGCTTCAACCTACACAGTGGAATTCAAACTGTTCAGTGTGGAAGAAGTCACCCAGTGCCACGTTAGCCCCAGCCGGAACAACGTGACCCTCACCCTGACTGGCCTGCAGGCTAATGATACTGGTCTTTACATCTGCAAGATGGAGCGGATGTACCCCCCGCCCTACTTCATGAACAAGGGAAAGGGGACCCAGCTCTACGTCATGGGTAAGCCAAGCAGCCTGCACTGGGGTGACATTCCCAGGGGGAGGGGGTTGCTAGCATGCCTCAAAGGCATTCAAAGTTCTGTCTGTAGGAAGGGAGGCTGGACACTGATTTGAGCTCTGAGAACCGTGACTGGCTCGTGTTCCTTTCAGGTCCTTGCACACACCTGAGGTCACAGCCATGAGATGTTATTTAGCAATGTATGGGTGTTTGACAGCATAAGCCATACCAGGTACTGTTCCTGGATGTCTAGGCAGTTAGATACATAAGTGCACACACAGCAGAGAGTAAGGTGTGTGTTCTGTGACAGATAAAGCCTATTTTAGTTAGAGGTTGAGTGGACAAGGGCTCAGAGTTCAGTCCGTGCTAGAGAAAAGCAGTGTGGAGGTTGACTTACTGACTCCAGGGGCTTCCATATAAGGTTCACTTGTGACATGACTTGTCTTATATTATATGTTTTAGATCCAGAACCTTGTCCAGAGACTGCTATATATCTCTGGGTATTAGGAGCTACTGCCTCAGGATTTTTTCTTTACAGTGTCATCACCTCAGCCATTCTCGTGGGCAAAGCGGTAAGTGCCAGCAGTTCAGCCCCCTCCTGCTAACAACACCCCTTGGGGTGACCAGGAGACAGAAATGAGATCAGGGAAGAACACTGGGAACAAACACACTGGGGTGCTCCTTTTTACTGCTGCAACGCTGTCACAGTAATGCAAAATCAGAGAACTTGATGGAGCAGCCATTTAGATTTGTTCATGGCTTATTTGTGTTGCCAGAGTAGCAGAAAGCAGCCAGCTGACATCAGCTGGACTGGCCCTCGCTTTAGGTTTGAACAGTTAGAACAGGTTGGAGCCCTGGATGATTTTGGGATCAAAGGCAACAGTCTTCAAGTGTACTCTGATTTCACAACTGATTCATACAAATCCCCAGGTTTTGCTTTTTTTCTGACCATTCACCTCTGTGCAAAGTAAATTTAAAGAGGGGGAAATTGTGACGAGGGAAATTGTAACTTACAGCATTTTTAACTGCAGAGCTGGAAATGTCTGCACAAAGACAAAGGCAAGCAAAACATAAGCCTGGGTTGGCTCTTTCCATGGGGCTCTGGAGTACTCACAGTCTGTTAGAAATGAACCCAATGCCAAAGCTTAAACCCCAACACTATCCCTGTCCCATATTTTTCAGTCTGCCCTGTCCCTAGAAGCTAAATTAACCTGTCTGATGAGAGCACTCCTAGCTCTGAGTCAAGATGGAACTCTGCAGCAGGAGCACCTTCAAAGGGCTAAATGATTGGCAGCACTGTTCTTTGCCCCTGTAACTCCTGATTCTCCCCAAATGGTCTCAATGGATCTTCTACAAAGAAGGGTGCCAGGGAAAAGTGTCTAGTGTTCTACTCAGTAAAGGCAGAACATGCAGCAGCTTTCCCTAAATGTGCTGGTCAATGACTCCACTGTGATCACTTCTTTATTTTGCTGTCTTCCTGTATTTTATAGATAAAGAGAAGACGATGTCTCACTACTGGGGTCTATGTGAAAATGCCTTCTGAAAAGCTAGAGAAAAAAGTGATTCCATTCCACATCACTGTTAATTGAAACAAAGAGAGAGAGAAACTGTTTCCTAGCTGGGATGGAGAGTCTGCTAACTCACTTAAGTTAAAGAAATAAAATTAATTGTCTTATTCCAAAGGTGTACAGGAAGGAGAGAGAATATTCTTTGTAACTTCTACGGTTTGGAGGAGAATAAATAGTTTATGCATTAATATTTCAAGGTTAACCCTGTCACACAAAAATGGCTCCATTAGGCCATTGGTTCTTTGAGTTGTATTGTACCAATATGTAGTCTCTCACTATATACATATGTATGTATGGCATTAAGAGCTATTGCTGTTGCAGCTGAGCACGTTATTGACAAATTTTACCATGTCTACTGATCAATTGAAATCCAAACACTATTATGACAGAGGCTTGTGTGTCATTCCAAGGCTAATCCTGCGGGTTGTGGGGGGCAAAGACAGAAGAGCACACTAATGTACAAAGGGAGGTTGACTTGCTTTCCCTGCATTGCTGTTGATCAGTCTCATTTCTGGCATTAGTGCTCTGTGCTTCCACAGGGGCAGCACCGTAGGCTGGCACTGATGACACTGCTGCTCTCAAAGCCTGGTGCCAGCACCCCTCGCTGGCATGGTGGCCTGTGCTGGAGTTAACACTGATAATCCCTGAGCCAGTGCTGACAGCTCGGTCGGAGACAGAGGCTGCCCAGCAGGAGCCTTCTCAGGCTGTTGCTGGGAGGATGTTCCAGCTCTGCTGGGGCTTTGCGTTTTACAAATGCTAAATTAGCATCTATCCAAAAGGCAGAAGTAAGTTGCTGTGTTTAAATGAGTCTATTTTCCATGAAAATACCATGAGTGTATAATCTTGTTTATTAGTTGTGTACCATTCAATAAAAACCTTGAAGCTTTGCCCAAATTCAAGTTCATTTCTTATTCATCATTCTCAGAAGAAACAGGAAGTGGGTACATGTTAGAAAGCAGCGATGACAAGATGAACCTTTCCCCTCTAACCCCATGTTTTGCCCTTCTGAGGAAGCCTGTCTGCTCATGCCAACACTTTCTCAGCTCCCCTCCTCAAGAGGCCACCATTAAAATCCATCAAGTCTTCTATTTGTCCATCTGAGCTGCTGCAAATCAGAGACACTGCCATCACCTTTGCACTCCCATCAGAGGCACTCCCTTGCAGAAGGTAACAGCAGTGACTTTGACAGCATCTCCTGCAGACATCAATACAAAAAGCTAGTTCTAGTTTCAAATCCTGTTTTCTTTGCACCTCTTTGACACTCTCACTCACTGAATGCTAGCCACACAAAGCTGCTGGAGCTTAAAACAACTTCAGCATTCTCAGCTACTACCTGCTGCTTTGACTCTTGGCTATCAAAATTTCAGCTTGCAACTCAAACACTTGGTAGCATACATCTGTGTCTCCCTGCTGTGAATCCAGCTTTTGGCTCCATAACTGTGGACCCAAACCCTCCAGCCCTCTGGGCCATGTCCCTGCAGTGGCAGCAGCTCTGAGAACACTCAACCTCACTGCTCTCTTGCTTTGCTTTCCTCCTCTTGCCTCTTCATCTGAGCCCCACCTCCAGCTGTACAAAGAAACTTGCCCATTCTCAGTTTGCTCATGTTTGCAGGTGTTAACTGCTCCCTCAGTGCATCTGATGACATATCCTTCTACTGAAGGTGTTTTAGTATTCTAACATCAATCTGGGATTTTTTCCCCCTAATTTTCTACTTCCCTGGTGTTCAGGGGGGCTAAAAAATGGTCAAGGATCACACATCTGATGTCACTGCAAAATGACTGAATTTCTGCCCATTCTAGTGCAGCCTGCTTAGAGAAATGTGTCCATGACTGGCAAAAATAGATGTGACCCACACATCCACTCCTACAAGCTGTAGCATCTTCCCATCAATTTACCCTGGCAAAGCCAGAATCATTACCCAGGGCAATCTTTTTTCTGCCACAGCAAGCAGTAGCTCAGATATCTAATCAGGACTTACTCTAATCAGGAAGCAACTGTTTCTTTTTCTTTTCCTTGGCAATTCCTATACACTTGGGCCAAAAAAACTTAATTTCCTTAAGCAATCTGAAACCAGCTCAAGCACATTGTTTTGTAAGTTTATCCATCCTGGGTGAAGAGAGACTTTGGACCTGTATCAACAGCCTCGTGAGCTCTGGCCATGGCTGGCTGTGAATCTGTGTCACTGCAGAACCTGTGTATATTCCAATTCACCTTCATTTTTGACAGCTAAATTGACCACGGTGAGGCCTTCTGCATCCACCTGGACTAATCCCTCCTAGTACTCCAGGATTTCCTTGAGACATTCAGCCTGTAATGACCAGTGAAGAATTCTCCCCTGAATAAGCTGCAGGTTGCTAAATTGCCCAAACAGTGAGGGTTATGGGGGAGCAGAGCAGAAAAGACCATCTCACCTATGGCAACACCAAAATTCTGTGTCTGCTTCTGAACTGAAAAAATTCCTCCTATGATGCTTATTAAACATCCTAGTGGAAATTACTTTGCCCAAATGCTCTGCCTGTTCTAAACTTCATCCTCAGCAGCTCCTTTTTCCAACCTCCCCTCATTCTGCAGTGCTGCAGCAGCCTTCCCTGAGCTAAATGCTACAGAAGCACACATGATCATTTTTGTTCTAAGCCAGGTTCCCCTTTTGGATTTTCTGGCAGGGTAGTAGGTGCACTCAAATCAGCAGCTGTGGCACTGAAGAGCAGATTTCAGTTCAGGTTTTACTGACAACAGTACTCTCATCATTCATGTCTGGCATTAGAGAGCTGAGTGGAGCCTCAGTGCCCACACAGATGATATTTATTCCTCTCTCCATGCAGCAGCTAGCTCTGAAGAGTGCAGAGCCCAGACCTCAGGGGATCTCCATTCCCCTGATGCCCTGTACTGCCCTCCAGGACCTTGAGCTCTGTGCTTTTCCCTCCTACTTGGAGAGCAGCTTGCCATGATCAGCACTCCAAAAAAATTTTACATATGCAAGTCAAATATAGTTTTCTGTCAGATTGCAGCAGTATCAATAGGAAAGGTGCAAACTCTAGGTCAGTGTAGATCCCAGAAATTGCCACGAAGAAGAAATCCTGGCTCTTTCTGGGAGGAATGTGAAAAGCAAAGGTGAAAGGATTTGGTCTCAGAACTCTGCTCATTAGAACAGGGAATTCAAAAACATAACTGAGTATCTTACCTGGGCAGCCAAATAATGAGACCATACTGCTTGGTGAGGTTCAGGAAGAGTCTCTTTTGATGTGTCCTTCACCCAGCCAGGAGATATGTCACCCTGTTTGTGAGAGAGGGATAGTGAGTTTCTGGCATATGCATGCACACCCCCTGCCCCCCACATTTTCCTTCCCCAGACTGGGAACAGCCTGAATCATGACTGAAGAGCTGTGCCTCTAGCAGAGGCATAAACAGGAATCAGATGGTGTAGCCAAGACCTATATCATGAAATCCAAACCAAAGAAACCTGGTGTACATCAGATGGTTTTATGCATTATTAAATCAAATTCATTCTTGACATTGGTAAACTGCATGCTCACTTCAACTCATAAATGGCACTGTGATCTATCTTCTGTCACAAGGAGGCTGTGGGGGCTCTGCAGTCCCTGGGAGGGTAATGTAAATTTTGAATGTGGAGAAGAGGTGAAATTCAGAAGATTTCTGAGGTGCAGAGAATGAAGAAAGGATTACACAGCACCATGCTCTGCTGGTCCTGCAGGTTCCTGAGCATCACTTGGGCAGAGTTACACTTGTACTGCTACACACAGACATTCAGCACTTACAGGACTTTGTTATCATTTTGTGTGAATGGTTTTTTGTGACTGGTGAAAGAACAGTCTTACTGAAGGGTACTTTTATATTGAATATCAAAGAGGAACAGTGAGGAACTTTGGTTTGTTCAAGCAAATAACAGTTACCAATAAAAGATCTCAGTAAGTATGGGAAGGAGTGTTGTAAACATTGCCCCTGAAGTCAGTTTTAAAATTTTACTAGAGGGACAGAGCAAGGAAGAGTTCAGGTAAGGGACAAAACTTCACTTGGAATCATTAATAATTCCTTTTTGGAATAGTTAATATTTCCTGCTGCTGTGACACAGCAGATACTTCCATGAAGTAGGAGATTATCAATTACTCAAAAAATCACTCTTCTTTTCTTCTTTTAACTTTTAAAATGGAGATTTGTTTCTATTTCCATACTCATCTGTCTTAACCACAGTCATAGTTTTATATCTTCATGAGTGTTTTTTAGTGGTTATGAAGTTACAATTGAACAAAAAGTTCTCAGTTTCTTCACTGATGGTTTTTCTTCTTCACTCTCTTCTGGCTCTTGTTTTGAAAAAGCAGTACTTCAAAATGTTCAGCTTGATCTGCTTCTGCTGCTGCTCTGGGGTGGGGCATTTCTACACAACACTTCTGTTCTCACATCCACAGGACACAAACGAGGTCCCAGACTTTTCAAGTCACTTTTGCTCTCAGGAGCAGCAATAGGCAGACTTCCCACAGCAGAAGCAGTAAGGTAGAGGCATTTTTCAATGTAAGGACATTACAAATTGAAAATAAAAATATGCAGTCAAAATTAGGAATGAAGAATCTGGATGAGTTCTTTCACAGCACAATATTTCTAAGCATGCAATTTTCTTGCTAACATGCTATCTAGCACTTCTTTATTCACCAGCAGAACTGATAATAAGAAAGGAAATCTTACTTACTAGCTCTAACAGTCAGTTCAGTAATTAATAAGATATTGTGTGTTATAATATAAATAAAAAATATTGATGGCTGTTTTCATTACAAACTCTTTACACAGAGGGCAACCATGAGAGTAATGTTCTACACCATTGGCAGTCACTGTGCAGCTGCAGTTGCCCAGCACTGTCCTCCCAGAGTGCAGGAAAACTCACAAATCTGAGAAACCTTCTCAGGCAACCTGACAACTATGAGCTTGACTAAAACTAGCAGTCTTGAGATATGTTTCTCTATCACTGGACCACTTCTGGGTTATTCAGTTTGGTTTTTTTCAGCCAAAAGCAAGACCTCGTTTTTAAGGACGATGGAATTTCTCCATAATTCCATGATTCCAAAAGGTGGGACTTCAAGAAGGTCACCTCCTGTAAGGGGATGTCTGATAAAACTGAGAGTTTGACCCACTGGGTAACTTCTGGTCAGACTGTGCTGTCTTGTGGGTGGGATTTATCAACACCCATGCTCTGCCCTGTGGTGTAGCAGCTTGTGCTGAAAGCTACAACAAGCAGCAGGATGCTTTGTTCTTCCCAGCCAGGATTAGTGCCTGAGATGGGGTTTTCTGTGGGAAATGAACATTAATCATAGAATCTAGAACTGTCTAGGTTGTGCTGAAAGCTACAACAAGCAGCAGCATGCTTTGCTCTTCCCAGCCAGGATCAGTGCCTGGGATGGGGGTTTCTGTGGGAAATGAACACTAATCATAGAATCTAGAACTGTCTAGATTGGAAAAGACATTCAGGATCACTGAGTCTATCAAGTCCACGGCTAAAGCGTGTCCCTAAGCACCATATCCACACAACTGTTAAACCCCTCCAGGGATGGTGGTTCAACCACTTCCCTGGGCAGCCTGTTCCAATGCTTGACTACCCTTTCAGTGAAGAAATTTTACCTGATGTCCACTCTAAACCTCCCCTGGTGCAACCTGAGGCCATTTCTTCTCATCCTATCACTTGTTACCTGGGAGAAGAGACCAACACCCACCTCACTGCAACCTCCTTTCAGGGAGCTGTAGAGAG